CTTTTAAAATCTGGTGATGAATAATGAAGGAAAAGCCATGCCGGTGAATACGCTGTAAACCTGGCAAAGGCAGTGTGGGTCCTTGTTTGCAGAAGACTTCCAGAAACACCTTCAGCAAGTGATGTGCTTCAATCTGACAAGAACTTGGTGCAGCCTCTTTTCCTGTCTTTCAGAAAAGGGGCACTAATGGGGCAGATAAGGCTTATCCTTACAGTACATCACCAGGACCCAGATACTGGTGGTAAGATATAAAGATACAACTCAGATTTGATGTAAAGGCATTTCTGGCATGAGACTGCATAGCTGGATGAATTGTGACCTGCATGAAGTGACTGAAATCCATGCCTAGGTGAGACTGTAGGAATGAGTGCCCCATGCCTCTGTCACAACGAGGTGTGAAGCAACTCTGCAGTGAGTGTGCAATAACAACTTCTCCTTACACAACAGCTCTGCTGTCCCTAGACCACATTCAGGGCCTGCTGCTCTGTCTGCAAAGCACCAAACAAGGTCCCCCAAAGAGGTTTCCTTGCTGCTGGGTTCAGCTGCCAGCTCAGATCCCAAATTCAGCCTGTAGAGCTGCTGTTTCAGGAAAAGAAGCCTCCACCTCTCTAAAATACCTCTGTTAACCGACCAAAGTGGAAATGAACAGGGCTGGTTCATTTCCATGATAAAAGCCAGCAAGTTTCCAAGCAGCATCTATTGATAAAGCAGTGCTGATGTTTTGCCCTGTTCTCCAGATAAGCAGCTCCTGGGAATGTATGGGAAGGTATGCATGACATGCTGCCCAACTGCAAAACATCCTGCCAATTACACTGTGGAGCACAGGACAGAAGGCGTTTCCAAAATGCTGTCACCATGGCTTGGGAAACTCAGGCAACCAAACTGGGGAGTGGGGAGAGGTTCAGAAGAATTCTCCCTCTTGGTGACACAGGAAAAGCCTTAATTCCATTTATTCTGGAGTCTTTGCTAGGGGGAAGAAAGGGCTCTGCAGCACAGCCCATGGGGTTTGGTTTTGCTGTTTCCTGTCCTTCGAGAGGGAGGCCTCCAGTCACAGGGATGTGGAAGTCTGGCAAACCAGATCCTTTCCAGGACTCTTTGCTGCAGACATTTACTGTCAAACAGGTCTCAAATCTGCCCAGACCTGAGGGGTAAAATGGGGTCATATAATACCTCTCCCAATTTATTTAAATACTCTTCCCTTTATTTTCACAGACACACTGCACAAATGTGTCATTTTGATGGGTTTGGGAGGAAACACTGAAAACAATCTGTATTTGAGGTTGAACCATTCTACTAAGCAAAAAGAAAAAAAAAATAGAAGATGGGAAAAAGAACAGTTTAACTTTTAGAATGAAAGCCAATCATCAGAGCTTCCTGAGAAAGGGATATTGCTTCCTGGCAGAGCTAACCATGGTGTAATGCCTGTTCATAATCTCAGCTCCACAGCTGCAGGGTGGGCAGAGACCTCTCTCAGCCCAGCTCCCCTCCTGTCCTGCTGCTCTGGGGACCAGGAGGGTCACAGATTTCAGCCCCCCTCACCTGCACAGTTCCCATTCCTGCATCCCCTCCAGGTCAGTCCCTTGGGTGACAGCTCCTCAGTGCAGTTTTCCTAAGGACAGGGTGAGTGCTGCCCAGGAGGTTGCCCAGAGGGGTGAAGTGAGCAGAGAACTGCCCTCAGCCCTGGAAAAGCTTTCCCTCTGCTGGGCCAGTGCACCAACAGGAAAAATGGAGATCTAGCAGGAGTAGGTGCAGAAAAGAGACAATGGAGATGTCACAGAATTAAATGACATCTGTTGGCAGGCACAAAGAAGGGGGGAGCCTTCCCAAAATACACCTGGCTGCTGCATCCCTGCACCCATTACACTACAGGGAGCCACTCAAGTGAAATTCAGTCTTGGACTGTTTCCCTTTGCTGTGCAAGCAAAGTTCAAGTGTCTCTAAGCTCCCAAGCCCCTACAGAGAGGCTGGGAAGTGGAATGCCATTACTGCTGTGGAATATGGGCTGCAGAAAGCCACAAGCACTTTCAGTGGATGCCTTAACTCACAACATCTGCAGCAAGGTTTGGGAACCCACAAGCCATGGGAATTAGACAGCTTGGGCCAAATCTGAAGATGTAAACTAACAAACCAACACAAAAATTTCTAATACTTTCTGTACCATAACTGCAAACACTGTTTCATGGCTGCTTTTCTTTACAAGTGGCTTAGCTTTCCCCAGTGCAGTTTTACACATTTTTGATATGACCTCACGTTAACAATCTGTGGTATAAACTTCATTATTTCTTTTCATCTGCCATAACACTGGAAAGAAAATTGATTGTCAAATCTATTTTGCATCAAGAAGATGGGCAAAAAAAAAACCCCAAACAACAAAACAAAACACTGATGATCAACAGACACAAAATTACGTGAACTGCAAGGGCAGGGTTTTGCTGCCTTTAAGAAAGAGATCCCAACTATCTTGCTTCTGTGGGTTTTTCAAAACTAGGGTCTTCCTGCCAGGGATGTGATGGAAATCAGCTGGCTAGGTCAGCCCTCTGCCCTTTTCCTCCTAATGCTGGTAATCCTCATGCGTCCCATTAGAGCAAAGAGCTTGCCAGTTGTGCCAGCAGGAAAGCAGGGAGCAGCTCTGCCTGCCACTGATGAAGCAAGCAGGGAAATGACAGGACCCTTCTCGTTCCTGCTGCACAGGATCAGTAAATCTGGTTTTTAAGCAAAAAGTCTGTGGTGAGCCTCTGTGTCCTGCCTGGGAAAAGCCCTCAGGAAGAAGCAGAGAAGACAATCAGCTGGTGAGAAATCAAGCTCTTGCTCTTGGCTCTATTTTAACCTAATATCTTAACTTCGGGACATTAAACACCATTTTGGAGGCTTGGGGCAGGACCAAGCTTGCTACTAATAAAATATCTTGGACATTGAGATGTTTTAAAAATAAGAATGGATTCAGCAATCTACAGATGATAAAAACAAACCAGGTAACACAAAGAAAAGGTGGGAAATAGCAATCTACAGATGATAAAAACAAACCAGGTAACACAAGGAAAAGGTGGGAAATAGCAATCTACGGATGATAAAAATAAACCAGGTAACACATGGAAAAGACAGGAAATAGAAGTAAAGAGACAGAATCAAGAGCAGGGAGCTCTTAGGTCAAATACTTCAGAGAAGCTTCCTGGCCACCTGACCTTCCCCAAGTGTCACATGTGTCTCCAAAAAGAAATGGCAGGTGTGTTCCCTTCTGCTCAACAGAGACAACAGAAAATACTCGAGGGGCGCAATCCTTTGTGTGTGGAGAGGAGAGGGGGTGAGGGAGAGTGTCCTCAGCTTGCCAAAATACCTGTTTCAGCCCTAAATTATAACAAATTAGGAGCTCAATTCCCCCTCCCCTCTGAAACATGAAAGGATACTACAGTGAAAAAGAATAAAGCAAGTGTTACAGTGATTGACCTAGGCTCTGTCAAACCTGAAAACCCTTGTAAAGCCAAACATTTGTCATGTCACGTAAGTAGCCTGTGCTGAGCTGGTTCCACCACTGCTTAATCCTTCTACACCCCAAAATCTGTTTAGATAATTCAGCTGAGGACATTTTTTGTAACAAACACACCTAAACAGGCCAAATGTTTAACCCTTGCCTGTGGGGCAGGGCAGCACAGATAACCAGGATGGTGATGTTAGCACCTGGGTGTTATCACAATTGCCCAGCTGAGTTATGCACTGGAATTCTTCAAAGAAAAGCTGAAGTGGTGCTTGAAGCACACTGTTCCCTGGCTCTGCTGAGTGTCCCCTGCTATTGGGGCTGCATCCATGCAGAAAAAGGCTTATCTGGGAAGATAATATAAAGTGTTTAGTAAGGTCTCTGTTCAGCAGAGAGAAATACCAAATGTCCTCTTTCATAATTTGAGGTTTTGCCAATGTTGTAATCACCTTTCTATTTCCTGTGCCCCTCCTAAAAATAAATATTCCTTTTCCCTTGCCACTTTAAAAGACTGAAAAGCTCACAAATCCAGCCTGACATGACCAAAGCAAACACCACCATTCCCATTTTAAATGAATGGGAGGGGAGGAAGAGAGAGGTGAACTGCCTTGCCCAAGAGGGTGTTACACAGGAGAAGGCTTGAACATAAACCCCAGGGAAGCCAGAGTCCTGTGCCCACCCTGAGACATGAGAGCCAGCTCTTCTGGAGCACGGGGTACACAGAGAAAGAGGGACAGAAAACCTTCTGGGGGTGTGCCACTCATCTACCTCACTCAAGCACAGGCTCTCGGGTCGCCTTCCCTGACCCAAAATGTTCTATTGAAAGGAAAATGAGACCTCCCAATTCACCTGGGACAGGAGCCACACACAGCTGAGGGTGTGAATCACAAGTGCTGCTGCACGGGTGGGGAAGGAACCAACCCCAAGGAGCTTGGAAAGTTTGTTCTCTTATGCCCCCATTCTTAATGACTCCTTAAAATCTCCTTTCAAAATGATACCTTATAAAATCTAACACAGCTAGAGATAATTTAGAGATCTAACACATTTAGAGACCAATAAGTAAACGGCAACTCTTCCTCGTTCCCCTTTCACAGAGGTAATTTTTTCCCAAACCATCCCCCTGCTTTCCAAATCTGGATTAAAACCTGCAAAAGAGTCTGAGGTGCACGACAGGAGTCGGGGTGGGAGGAAAGAGACCTTGATCTGAACGCCAGCAAAAAGATAGTTGGAAGCTGCCTTCAGGGAGAAATTGCTTTGCAAGGTGGAGCTAAAGCAGATCGCGGAGCCAGTCACAAGCTAGTGGAAATAAAAAAAGTTTTCTTTACCTCCATGTCCTGCAAGAAGAGAGGTGTCCTCAGGGCAATCCTTCTTCCCCACCCCTTTCCCTGTTATCTGTGGGAAAAGTTCAGGAGAGGCAGAGCAGAGCGCGGAGGGCTGGGAGATCCCAGCTGCTGCTCAGCCCGAGCGGACAGACGGACAGACAGAGCCCGGCCAGTGGCCCTGCGCTGCGAACAAGGAAGAAGGGCGGGTGGGTGAGAGGAAGGGAGGGAGGGACGGGAGGGGAGGGGGAGGCAAGGCAATCAGGGTTTAAATTTAGACACAAATCTAAACAGATACTGTCCTTCCCGGAGCGCCGGGCTCGGGAGACAACAAGCAACAAGCTGTGCCTCCGCGCCCAAACTGGGGGACACCGCGGGTGCATTTCCTCTCTCCCTTTTTTTTGTCTCCTCCTTCCTATTTTCTATCACCTTATCTTTACTCCCCTCCCACCCCTCCGTTTAGTCTCTATTTCTCTTCACTGCTTGCAGTTCCTGCCCTGCTATCTCTGCTTCGATCTCTCCGCTGTCCACACTTCCCTCTCCCAGGGTCTCTTGCCTGTTTGTTTGTGAGGGGAGAATCCCTTTCCTTCTAACTGCAGCTTTCCTTTCTCTTCCTCCTTTTCGGTAATTTCACTCGGCAATGAACTGTCTTCAGAAAGGCAGAACAGGAGGAGAGCAATGGTGATTATGGGGCTTGGGTAGAATTTAAGGCGTTGTCCTGGTGTGTGGCTGGGACTCCCAGGAAGGACAAATATCTGGGTGATCCCGCAGGGGGAGGACAGGGCTGAATTGTGGGCACTGGCAGAGGGTGCCCATGCAGGGCTGGCACTGTCCAGCTGTAAAGCAGGACCAGCTCTTTCTGCCTTGAATTTGTCTCTCACACCACCAGGTTGGAAGGTGCGGGTTGTCCTCCTCTCCCTTCGCAGGGATGTTCAGACTTGTGCACTGAAGTGAGACGCTCCCGTGGTGGTAGAGAAATTCGGATGGGGAAAAACAAAGCTCCGGGATGTTTTTGCTGCAGTTTCCCTTTCCGCGCCAATCGCAGCGTTGTAAACCGGACATCTCTTTTAGCAACTGTTTGCATGTGCTCCTTCTCAAAGAATTTCAGTCCCCACCTCTCGAGAGCAGGGTGGTGCAGAGGAATTTGGAAACGCTCCCTTTGTCTTCTGCTGGCTTCCTCGCCCTGAGTGCAGCTGCAAAGTGACACAATGTCATATCGTCATTTTGGCACGGTACCTCGGGGGCAGAGGAGAGCTAAAGCATGTTTTCTAGAAGGGATGCATGCTTCTCCCTTGCAGTGTTTCACAAGTCCCTGCTGGCTGTGGCTGAAAACGCTCCAGCAAGGGTTTAAATGTGAGCATCATGATACCCCAGCTCCCTGTTACTGAGAGTGGTTCTCCCAGTGCAGTTAACTGTTGCTGTCCTGCACGCTGCAGGACTCCTGTGGAATTTGCAGATTTAAATTGTGATCCAATTATCTCCCAGATTCAATATACAACAGTCACTCTGTCCTTAGCCAAAAGAATGATAGGCTGAGTTGTTACAATCTAGAGATTGGGCAAGAGGACTAATTAATCTTCTGTTGTTGAAACACTGGATTAGATGGATTAGATAAAACCCCTCTGCTGTAAGCAACCACAAGATGCTCTGACTGTAGATATAAGAAACTAAAATCTCAAATAAATACAAAAATGGAACTACCACTTGTTTGGAAATCCTACTGATTTCTTCAAGTCCTGACAATGGTACATTAGGACAGGGAATAGAAACTGAACTGAGAAACAGGGTTGAGGCAGGGAGCTGCCCATGCTTTGCCTGCAGTGGGACAGCAGGAGGATTTCAAGCTGAGGGATTTCACTGGACATGGGTCACAAGTGTTGTTTTCTAGATATCTGCCATGTAACACACCGTCAGTGACACCTCCCATAACTGTTTCCTGCTGCTCAGGGGCTCTTTCAGTATTTTCTTTCTGCTTTCAGGGGCTCTGCTGTGCAGAGGAAACCATTTGCTTAGGTGTACAGAAAAGGAAACTGCTAGGGAGAGGCAGTATCACTTCACCCATATTAGTAAAGCAAAAGCTGTTGCAGCTGCCCCACCACAATTCTTCACTCCATTTATTGCTGCCTCCAAGTATCTTGCCACAAAGCAAACCTTTTCTGCCTGCTGGATTCCCAAATGCCGTTGCTCTGGGCATAGTATGCAGTACTCTGAGCATTTTAATCATTTTGTCTGTACTTCTGACACTTTTTCATGCTAAATCTCCCTTCCTGAAGGAGCAAGGGGTGAATGCACAGAAATATGGTGTCTGTTTTTCTCCAGACAGGAAGACATGAGGTGTGGATTTGTTTTCCTCTCTCTTGTTTCTGGACTGAAAACCACTAGAAAATTTGAACAAACAACTCACATGCTTTAGCTGCAAGACCTCTGAAACAAACCTTATTAAGGGAGGTTCTACAGAGAAACTGGGTGTTGCACATGATGTGCATTTGCAAGTATTTGGAGGTATCTTCCAGTATGACTCTTTGCATCCTTCTGTATATCCCTGCTTACAAACCTGGGATGTAGCAGTGTCTATGAGACTAACTTGGTCTTATACCCAAAAAAAAGTTCCACATCTGTTCTGCTCTGCAGCAAAGAAAAAAAAAAAAAAAAGTAATCACTAGTGCCATTAAAACAGTAAAACAGGCTCTGGGGGGAAATTTCATTTGACTGAGAAAATGCTGCAGTTGTGGCCCCCTGGCCCCCTGGATTTTGCAGCTTCCTGTCTGATTCTTTTCAAGACATGTGAGGCCAACACAGCAGGTTTGCTTCAGAAGAAATGACTGGCACTCCTGCTACAGGCAGCACGTGGGGGAGAGGTGCAAGGAACTCCTTCATCCTGGCATTCCTTCCAAACAGGTGGTGTAAGGGGTTCTGCCATGCTTGGAAACACCATGGGCAACATTTGCTGGCTTCTTGCCTTATTAAAGATGGAGAGTGGAGCCTCTGCAGGGTGCTCAGAGGGAGCAACAAAAAGGATGTGCAGAGACATGGCTATGCTTTATTCAAAAATCAGTTAGTTAAAAGTGCATTGGAGGGCATCTGAAATTTTGTGTCTGGCATTTGTGTCCGTGCAGTTATCTCATTTGGGTGTGTCTGCCTAGCTGCCAAATCTGGCAAGGTAGGTTTGTCAGGGTGGTGGGAGAGCAAAGGGTGGAGGGAGCTGTGGGTTCCTGCAGGACAGATTGCAATTCTGTGCTTTGTTAAGACATTTGTTGAGGGGTTTATAGAGCTCACCTGTCAGTGCCAGTATCTGAGGTCGTTCTGTCCACCTCTCTGCCTGGCCTTGGCTGCTGTTACCCACATCCTTTCCTGGAATTCACACCACTAACCAGCAGCTGTTTCTATATTGGGCTTTTGACCTCCTGAAAATGGGGTTTCAACCCTTTCTGTTCCCACTCAAGCAGCTCAATTCTCAACTGAAAAATAAAAAAAAAAAAAAAGGGGAGGGATAAGGTACCACCAAAGAAACAACATTTGCATTTCAAAGATCAATCAGCTCGAAAAGCCAACATCCTGTTTTGGGTTGCCTTTACACATCAGGTCTGTCACTTGGCAGCCCGACAGGAAGCGAACGTGAGTAGCGCTTTTTTATGGGAAACTCGCTTTTCGAGCCCACCCTGTGCTGAGCGCGCCCCGAGCTGCCGGCGCTGAAAAAACGCCGCGGCCGCTGAGCCTCGCCCTCTGCTTCGGGGGCTCCTCAGCAGGAAATGAACTCGCTGGAACGCTCCCTACCACTGACATTGCTGTGCTCGGGTCTGCAGCTGCAGGGAAGCGCTGCTGAGAGCACAGACACACGGACACACACACACGTGTGCCAGGCTCTCTGCACCCCTGGGAACTGATGTCACTGGGAAAGTCCCGGTATCAAAGGGAGTTCAATGCAAGGATGTGGTTATAAAGTGGCTCTCACTAAGCTGAATTGGAATGTGAGTGTCTTTTTCGTGCTGGCCACCTAAAAAAAGTAGGTGGTAGAGAATAACTGAAAAATTGATCAACTTGACACGTTCCTGACTGTCAGCTGGTGCCCGAGTGCTAACATCGTGGTTCAGACTAACCAGGCTTCTTAATTAGGGCTTCCTAATTGCCAGTTCTGGAAAAGCCTTCCTAAAAGCCTGTCCCTCAGCAGAGTAAAGTTAAAAAATGGTGCATGGCACAAGGAGAATTTCACCTTGTAATGATGAGATCACAGCGAGGTGGATCACCCTGAGCCCACCAGGGGCTGAGGGGTGGTGTTCAGATAACTGGTGTCATCTCTTGCAGCACCTGAATGTTTTTGGAGAGCTCTTCTTTCTCCTGATCTGCTTGGCTTCAGAGAACAAACTGAGCTGGGGTGTTAAGAGGCATGGCTGCATCCCACTGTACTCATATAGTGATGGGACAAATATCAGCATGAGCCACTGACAGCTTGCTTCCAGACTGAACAATTCCTCTATGGTTACTAGTTTTAGTACTCCAGGCTTATATAAACCAACAAAACCAATCAGAACATGGCTGCTGACACAATTCTGGGTGTCTGTGCTGGTTTTGATGTTCTCAGGCCAGTCCTACTGCCCATCTCTCAGTGTCGAGAAAGCAGCACCACAAGCAGTGGCCCTCACCAGCAGCTTCCTCAGCATGCAGCCCCAGCTCTGACTGAACAGGATTGTCTGACTGAAAATGGACCAATATTTCTGTCCCTAACAGGTTGTGCTCAAAGGAAGCTTGCCTTGCCACTGCCAGTGTGGTGAATATTAAAAAAATAAAAGGACTTTTGGCTGAGCACCAGGCCAGCACTGTAATAACTTTACCTATCTTCTAAAAAATACACCAAAGAAAGAGTCACAAGCTGAATTCCCAAGCAAGGTAATTCAGGAAGTTTGAGGGTGAGAACAAATAAATGTCTGCGCTGTGTGCCACCTGTAGCAGCAGCAGGGCTGACACCTCCTCAGGAGAGAATCCAACCAACATTTTTAGAAACAATTTGCATGGTGGGTCTCATGTGGCACCAAGCACTGGCACTTCAAAGCACTGAGCGCTTCAGCTTTTGCCAGAGCTGACTCACAGGTCAGTCTCCCCTGTCACAGGCAAGTGACTTTAGAGTGACTTTAATCACCCTGGCTGGCATTTGGATGGGAGAGCCGCCCTGGCTGGGGAATCGAGCGCTGCACCCAGCGAGCCTGCACAGCCCCGAGGGTTATCTGGGCACAGAAAGGTTCCTGTGCATGGACAGACTGCCTGACCAAGACAGGGAGCCTGGAGCAGAGCACAGCCAGGCTGTGTCTGAGCACAAACCGTGCCCAGCCCATGCAGCAACCAGAGAGAGCTGGCTGGGGAAAAGCAGCTCTGAAGAGGGCAGACAAAACATGACACAAGGCAGGATGGAAACCTTGCCCACTTTCTGACTAAAATACATCTCCTCCAGGGACACAGCCTGAAGCCCATCACATATAAAACACACTGAAATTAAGATCATTCCATGAACTCGACCTTGGAAGAAGGATATCTCCATTTATGGTGAGATATTGCTGTCTATTCACTGGCTTTTAAATGCAGTGAGGCACATGATTTGGAAAGGAGAACTAGTAATGCCTACCAATACTTTCTTGACCCTGTTATGCAAGGATGCTGTGAGCCCCTAGACAATATTGCAGCACAACAGAGAGAATCCTTCTCCTTTCTCTGAGATCTAACTGAGGAAGTGAGAGAGCTTAGTGGCTGCACATCAGGGGTTTAGAGCATCCTTTTTTTCTTTTTTTTTCCCTATGAAAATTTCAGTTTGTCCTGAGCATCTCCAGGAGAAGGCAGCAGCAGGAGGCTCCATGTATCTTTGAGAGGAGCAGAGATCTCTAACCATGGAGGACAGCAGGGATCTCTAACCATGCTCTGCAGGCAAGGAGAATACTGGAGGAAAAATTATTTTGTTCTGCCTGTACAGGACAGCAGATAAACAGCAGGGAATGGATGGGTGGTGTATTTTCCTTGCTGAGTTCAGCCCAACAGGATGATCCATCTGGGCTGCTATAAGCTGTGGGTGCTGTGGGGCACCTGGGGCACATGGTGCTCACAGGACAAGTTAATTTGGTTTTCTCAGTGCTACACTGCTGTTTACATAGCGTGGACATACTTGGATCCAGGTGGAAATACAAAAACCCACCATCTTTTAGGACCACTTGAATCAAGTCTCAGTATTACCCCAGTTTAAAGCATCTCTTTATACAAACCTTTATAAGGTTACTGAGCACAAGGTGACGGATAAAATAAGCTTAGTGTTTATTTGGGTAAGTGATGCTTGGAAGAGCCTTCATTGGAAGGTGGAATGGTGATGACAAAACCAAGTCTTGCAGAGGCAAGGGCTCTGACATACACCCTGCAGTGTGCAATAAGTAAAACCTGAGTTCTGCCCAGTGGCAAACCATTCTGTGGGCTTTGGGGCCCAAAACAGATAGTCCTTGCTGTGATATATCCCTGTGATTAAAGGATAAGGTTTTCCCAAGGGAAGGCTGGGCCTCCAACACCTGTGGTGGCACAGAAACAGCCTTTGAGGCTGATTTAGCAGTGGGCAGGGATAGTGGGACCTTTGGTGCCAACCCTTGGATTGCAGAATGACAGAATCATCGTGGTTGGGAACTTCAGGATCCCCGAGCCCACCTGTTAACCCAGTGCCCGGTGCTCACCATTAAAGCATGTCCTCAAGCGCCATCTCCACGCGGGTTTTGGACACTTGCAGGATGGGACAGACTTCCCCAGGCACACAAAGCAGGGGCGATGCCGGGGGCCGGCTGCTGCCATGGCCTATTCTGTGTCACTCTGACCCCGCAGAACGGGAGGTGTCGGAGCGGGGGGCCTGGCTCGGCACAGGCGGGAGCCGCCAGGGCATCTCCGTGACATCCTCCAGGACACAGCAGGGACATCCCGGGACATCTCCGGGAGCCGCGTCCCGCCAGCGGCCCCCGCAGGCCAGCGGGAGCGCTGCCGCCACCTTCCCTTCTTCCCGCGCCGGTGCTCCAGGAAACGGGATTGTGAGGGGATTCTGTGGGACGGGGCCAGCGCGGTGAGGTCCGAGCAGGCCAACAGTGGCACCCTGGCCTGGAGCAGGAACAGCGTGGGCAGCAGGAGCAGGGCAGGGACTGTCCCTCTGTACTCGAACGCCATGTCCAGTTCCGGGCTCTCACTTCGGAAAAGGCCTTGACGGGCTGGAGCAAGTCAGGGGAAGGGTCTGAAGCGCCAGTGCTGTGAGCTCAGGGAACTGGGGGTGTTGAGTCTGGAGAAAAGGAGGCTCAGGGGGCACCTCACTGCTCTACAGCCACCCGAAAGCACGGTGTGCCCAGTGGGACTTTGGTCTCTGCTCCCAGGAAACGAGGGACACGATGGGAGCACACGGCCTCAAGCTGTGCCGAGGAGGTTTAGGCTGGACATTCAGAGGAATTTCTTCACAGAAAGGGTGATTATTCATTGGGATGGGCTGCTCACTGGAGGTTCCCAGGGAAGGGCTGGCGGTGTCAGTCGGTGCGTGCTCCGGGGCACTCGGCAGTGCTGGGTCGCAGCTCGGACTCGGCAATTTTGGGGTCTTTTCCATCAATTTGGTGACGCAGAACTGGGCTCCTATTGGCTGCCGGGCCGCCGGTGACTCCGCCCCCTCCCGGGCCGCGCGCTCACGGTTGTTTACATCGTCCGCGCTTATTGTCCCGCCTCCAGCGGCTCTCATTGGCTGAGGACAGCGGACCTCGCAAGTCTATTGGCTGATAGGGAGGGTGGTGGCTCTTCACTCCCGATGTTGTCGCTCATTGGCTCGAGCAAGGGGGCAGCCCTGCTCCCATTGGTGAGACAAGGCGAGGCTCCGCCCCTCCCGGCCGGTGGGCAGGCGGTAAAGGCGGGCCCGGCAGTCGAGGCCCGGCGCCGTGCGGGGTGGGATGTCCCGGTGCGCGCTTGTGCGGGGAGCGATGTCCGCGTCTTCAGCCATGGCGCGGCTGCTGCTCTTCCTGTGCGCCGCATCGGGGCTGCTGCTGGCGGCCGTAGCGGCCATCCCGCCGCCCGAGGAGGCGGCGCGCATGGCGCGCTACGTCCTGCACAGCTGCGACTGGGGCGCGCTGGCCACGCTGTCGACGCAGGAGGGGCTGCGCGGCCGCCCCTTCGCCAACATCTTCTCCCTCAGCGACGGCCCGCCCGGGCCCTGCGGCGGCAGCGGCGTGCCCTACCTGTACCTGACCGACATGGAGATCTCCGTGCAGGACCTGGAGGTGAGCGGGGCCTGGGGTGCGGAGTGACTCCGGGGAGGAAGCTCGGGGAGCAGCCGGGTCAGTCAGGCCGGCGCTCAGCAGCAGGCGGTGATTGCAAGGCGGTGTGACAGCGCTGGTTCGCGGAGCTGCGGAATTACTGGGGCTGGGAGGGGCCTCTGGAGAGCCTTCGGGGTCACCTCGGGCAGGTGACACGGGAACGTGTCCAGGTAGGGCTCTCAGAGTGGGAGACACCGCCACCTCCATGTGCAGCTGCTCCAGAGCCGTGCCACCCTCAGCGTAAAATCTTTCCTCATCTGTGTTTTAGTTTATGGCTCTTCCATGGACGTCACCCCGTTTGTCAGCCCTGGGGACAATTACTAGCCCTTGAGCAGTGCTGTCTGTGGTGACAGTTGGAAGGCTCCTGAGAAGTTCCTGCTGATCGTGGTCTTGCGAAAGAAAGGGCAGCACCAGGCAGAGCAAGTGTCAGCAGCTTGCAGGAGCACTGAGGAAAGAAATGAGGCACCATGGAATATCTGAACAGAGGAAATTTCACACACAGCAAAGTCAAAAGGACTGGAACTTGTCAGTGTGGGACCTAAGCACAGAGCCTGCTGAAGGAATTCAATCTCTGGAGCATACCGTAAAGGGAAGCACACACGGAAAGGCAGCTTGGGCATGCTGAGACTCTGAGTGTGTAATTGGCCTTGTCCCAGAACTGTTGTGGCCAAGAGTTTGCTAAAAACCTAGTGAAATAGCAGTCATGCCTCCTTTAATGGATTTGTTTGTTTTAGTAACTTATGACATTAGTAAACACAAAATAATGGTAATTTTTCAGACTGCTTTATCATTTTTTGTTTGTTCCCTGTCAGGTTTTAGTTTGTTACCTTAAAATAGTTGCATTATGTCTGAGTAGTGTAGAGAGTCTAATTCATTTTGCGTGACACCTTTCTTTCAATCCCAGATACAGCTGTTTGCTTTCAGAATAACATAAAACCCACGAGTATAAACTAGTAATGAATATTTCCTTCAGAAAGCTCCTCAACAGGTCTTTATTTTGCTGCTTCAGGGCAGAAACTCTTGACACGTGATAGTCACAGGCGAGGAGAAGGTGCCGAGTCATCATGAGTCAGCTTTTTGGGAGTTGAGCAACTTCCTCTCTCTCAAGTGGCTGCCTCTGTTTCACGAGGTCACCTGTGCTCTCCGTAGTTTTCAAGTGACTGTGGAGGCTTTCTCTTGGACATGAGCCCTTCTAATGAACCTCCTCAAAGCAGGGGAACTTCTCTTACTGGGAAATAATGACCCTTAGTACATGGCATTCTGCAATCCTGTTTGGCACCAGTGCTTTTCAAGCCATGGTCACCAAATTAGTTTTTAGAAAAACAATCAGTTATGGGTTCTTTAATCCTTCAAGTTAGGTGTTTCATTTAAATGCTCAATTTTTTAAAAAAATCTTATTTCTAAAATTAACTTTAAATGCCAAAAGAGCTGCTTGGAAGAGCCAGGAGGCTGTTATGAAGAGATGTTTTTGTTACAAGTAATTTTACCAACAGTTGTGAAGCTGAGTTGGTTGCCTTCTCAGTAACACTTTGCCCTTCCACCTGATGAAATTCACTCTATGTCCTTGTCTTCTGTACAGTCCTTTGTATCTGCAAATTGTAATATATCATCATTTGCATGTGAAATAGGTGGGCTGAATTCATTAAAGAGTCTTGTTCTGTGATGTTTGCATTTTATGTTAACAAGCTTCAGCACACCTCTGAACTGGGCTTTATTTCAGATTCAGGGCTCACCCAAGGAGCCTTTCAGATGTAGTTAGAGCAGAGCTGTCACCACCTTTTCCTTTCTACCAGTATTATTGAGCTGAATAAAGTACCAAGAGCTGTAAATGTGGTGGGTATGACATTTTTTTCACATAAGAAAAGTAAGCATAAACCTCTTATCTTGCTTCTTGCATTTCAGGTGAATTCAAATGCCTCCTTGACTGTGTCTTTGGCACAGACTCCTTACTGCAGGAAGCACAAATATGATCCCCAGAACCCCCTCTGTGCCCACATCATCTTCGTTGGGAGCATTGTAAAGGTGAGCAGCTGAAAGCTGGCACTGGGCAGGGCTGTGTGCATCAAATACAGATTTGTTTAGTGGAGGGAGAGGAGAAAGGTGAGAAATTCTGTGCAGAAGCATAAGCTGAGCTGTTCTGTGCTGTGATACCCAAAGGCCAGCTCACAGTTTGTGGGAGGAAAAAAAAGTTAACGCTTGATTTTTGCAGGAGCTCTCTTGACCTGCCTTTAGCAAGGAATTTGGGGAGAGAGAGTAATGCAGGGAATCTCCCTCATTGCCGTCATGTGTTCCAAAATTAAGTCTGAGGCCATTATTTTGGAAAAACCTTCATATTTCATTTACATCTCTCTTGCTCAGTTAAATTCTTTGGTTCCAGCAGTGTGATGGGCCTGCTTCTGAAACTGTTCAAGTAAATACTAACCTGAGCTACAAAGTTGCACATGTTATAGACAAAAAGTGTGCATTGTGTGATCTGGTGGCATTGCTGCCAGGGCAGTGTTCTTTTGTGCACCAGTACTTTGGTGTCTTGTAGGAGGAATTGAGAACTGCATGTGTTACTCATTGAAGATCCTAATCCTGTTATTGGGTAATGGTTGAGGATGAGAACTACTCATCACTATGCTCTTACTTGATAGTCTCATTCTTATTTGGTGTTTTCACAGCTCTGATATTTGCACATTGCACTCAGCAGTCTTGTAGTTGCTTTCCTGAGTTTCTCATTAATAATGGAGTTGATTTTATTTTGGTGGTTTTTCTTATTCTATACCCAGAGCTCTAAATGGTTGATTTCACCCTTTAAACATCTGCACGTTGTATATTAAGTGCCACCACACTTTTCAGCTTCCCTTCTCTGTAGATTCTGTTATACCATCCCATTTGTGTGTTTGCAGATGTCTGAGCACAGTTGTATCTGTTTCTGTCAGTTTGAATGAGCAGGTGCAGAGGAGGTGAAATTACACCTAAGACATCACATTGTAATAATTCACCTACCATCCATACTTCTCTGTTTTGTGGCTTGTTTAACAATCAATTAATCATCAATTCTTATGTTGATGAAATACTCTTGCTCATGCTAACTCTAAAAGCAGCATTTTGATTTAATGTTGAATCCACTACTTTGTAAGTGTTGTCTGTCTCACCACAGTTGCACAGCACACTGAGGATGAGCAGCCTCAGCCACAGTAATGAGCCCCCTGGGACAAGACATGGCTGGACTCAAAAAACACACTGCAGTCAGCAGAGGTTTTTTAGCTAAAACTCATCTTTACATGACTATCTTATTGTAACATTTTCCTGGCTTTTGTTTAGGTGAATGATTCAGAAGCAGACATAGCCAAAAAAGCATTATTCACTCGCCACCCTGAAATGGAGAGTTGGCCCAAGGATCACAATTGGTTCTTTGCCAAATTCAACATCACCAATATTTGGGTCCTGGACTACTTTGGTGGATTGAAAATTGTGACACCAGAGGAGTACTACAGTGTCAAGCCTTAGTAAGTACTGAAGTTCTTCATGGCTAACTCTCATTATATTTCACACCTGTAAACTTCTTGTTGGTAACAGGGAGGAGTGACTCCTGTAGAATTGGCACAGTCACTGTCCTCTGTTTGAATTAATTGCAAGACTGATGATGTTTTGGTCTAATAATTAATAGTAGTGAGACTCTTCAGCATTTCTGAAGCTGTATTAATGGGATTGCAGCAATATGGCTGATACTTCCAAAAGAAAATTGCTGTTGAATCTGTCCTTATGATTTTGAAGTATAGAGAAATTGTCTTCTATTGTCTACATAAAACAAAGTCTTCCAAACTTTCAAATATATTTTAGCACAGTCAACATGAATTCTGCATTCATTTCACTCTTATTCTTACTCCTTGTAGGTGGAAGATCCTTGGTGATGCTGATATGGAAATGAATGGCTTTGGCTGTTTCATGAAAGATTTATTTTTTCTATGTAGTGTAGAGCTGAATTAATAATATAATAAATCAAACACCTTGCATTGTTAATGAGCATGTATTACTCTTATGAAGCAGATTTAACTTCTCACTAACTTGATTCATGTCACAATGAAAAACCTTTGTGCATAAGCAATAACTAAATTGTACCCACTGGATGTGAATTTGGAAAGGTGTCTGACAGTGTGCATTCAGAAATGTTGTATTTACTGGAATCTAAAGGATTAGTCCAGTTCTTAAGTGCCTTATTTAAATAATGTTTCTGAGCACTTTCCAATATTATTTTATTTTTAGTACCAGTTTAGTTTAGAATTTTATGGCGAAGTTCTGCAGGATGGCTCAGCTGATGGAATGGAAAGCATT